TCCTGCCATTCACACAATTTGCACAAAACAGTAACTGTTTGTGTGGTGCTTCACGTCGCACAGAGGTACTCCTGGAAACCCCCTTGTCCTACACAGATGTGGAACGGTTACTTCACTCTGAATTCGAATCTTTATGCAAAGATGAATATATGAAACATGAGGCGTTTCCATTCGTCTCTTTTATTTCTAGCTCAGGTGGGTGATCAGTGGAAGGGTACTGTCTGTTTGACCATTATAGAACGATGTCAGATCGCTGATACACATTAAGTTTAATGTAAAGCGATTTACAAATCACTTCGGCTCTTCTCCCACAAGCATATTCTTTTTTAATAATTCCCATATGTATTAATATTGCATTATTACAAGACTGAATCGTCAGTATAAGCAATTGCTTTTTTGTGCTGCTGTAAACTAAATGATTTATTTCCTGTCACCCTTGGTATACTAGTATATGTTGATATGTATGTACACTGTGGCTTGTGTCATGGATGGTCCCTATGCTGTCTTTCTCTCCTGGGTCTACATGCCAGTGAAATTATATCATACCGTTCATCTTTGGTAAAACAGAGATGTCACTGCGATTATTAGTTTAACGTTTCACCTCATCTGAGTTTTACTCTTCAACATGCAAGACAAGGAGTAAGCACTTTTTTCGAATTTCTTTTTTCTTTTCTTCCAACCTCTCCTGGTAAGTTGTATATGCGATTGGAACGTTCGACCAATGACAGAAACACTTGCTGTGTTTCACCTTCTGTTTTGACAATCTGGTTTCCTCATGATTGTCACCATGCATTGCACACAGGTAAAAACTGGTATCTTTGTCGTTTGCTTTCCTTCGACATTCACCATAATGTACTTTCAAAATAACACGTTCTCAAATGAAGGATGAAAAACATTGTAATTTTGTCCTCAGCTATCAAGGTCTGTGTAAATCTACATGAAAATACAAATATGTATCTGATATGTCCAGATAGTGTAGGTTCCATCGTCAAGCTGTTCAAGGATATCCTCCACGCATATTTGTATGGTTTGAATGCATGTTTGCCTGTTCCTAGAGAAGATGACTGACAAGCTCAAGTGAGTAGGTGATTTTGCTTTAACGCCATCTATTTAGAATATTATAGTTTTAATACTGTGTGTCAGCTTAATGTGGGAGGACAACCCTTAGTGATGCAATGATGAGTATTTGGGGAAATGACATATAATGTTCACTATGTAGAATAAATAGTATTGACGCATGGAATATCAATGCTACTATTGTCTTCTATTCCTTGTTGTAAATAATATATGTCGAATCCAAACTGACCTGTTGGTTGGAGGCGGGGATATATATGTCTCACATGAACATTGCTTGAATGCGTAATTATTTGTAGATACATTTGACGTTAAGGTGGTCACTTTGATTTGTTTTTTGCTTGTATATCATTCAATTTAATCCAAAATAAATAAAAACACGTATAATTTTATCATATAAGGCATAATTCCATTAAACTGTTGTTATTGTCTTCTTGGAACCGATTATCCTGCACTTACATTACGTCATTCACGTTATGAGTATAACACGTAAATTGACTTGCTTTCCGATGATAATTATGCAACTGCTAAATAACATAACATTGCACTTGGATGATACGTATCTTACACATTGTCCTGCAGTGGACCCCCCGTGGGGGTTCCAGGACAGAACAGGTCCTCGGCATCTTTGCCTGTCGTGAAAGTCTTAATGGGTTTGGCTAGTGTGACATGGCTGATTGTGTCAGTTCCCCGAAGCTACAGCGTGGCTATATACTGTCATGGCAGTAATTGGTTTGCCTGGCCCTAACCTAGTTGTGTAAATGCATTAGCTTTGTTATTGAGAGTATAGGAATATAAAAAAGCCATCTACTCGTTTTGTCAATGGGGGCTGAATAATCACCAATCTGGGAAAAGGAACATGTAAGTGAGTCAGTGTATTTGGCAGCCTGTACAAAATCGGGTCTGGACCAGGCAGCTGTCAACACGTGTGGGGCACGATGAGACGCAAACAGGCAAATCTCTCAGTCCTCCTTAGTGGATGCTTACCACACGTATAGGATGTCGGGACCTACATTGACGTGTGTGGTCCAGTCATCTAAGTCACCGCAATTCGCTGTGCAGAACTGCGTCCACTAGGTATCCCAGACACCAGACTGAAGGTTCGAATCCCAGTTCGACCCGATTATGTTTCCTGGTTTCTAGCACCACCCTTCTCCTCTTGGGTTTCACCAAAGTGGTACACGTAGAAAACTGCATCACTTCGGGCTTTCCCCCCACACCAAGCTGACGTGACTATAACTTATATACCATAACACAGCGTTAAACCGAAAACACTCACCAACATAGAATCTATCCCAAGCCATAATCTACTATTAGACGTATGCAACTACACAAATGTAGTTAAAATCTTCTTTCCTCAAAATGTTCTTCATCCATGGCGGACCAATTGTCACTGATGGCATGGGTGGCCCAGTCGTCTAACGTGCTGCACAGAGTTGTGTCTCTAGTAGAGTGGGTTCGAATTCCAGATTCATCCTGATTATCATTCTTAACTTGCCATCGTATCAATCCACGTGTGTCACCTCCATCTTGAAGAGGCTGCATCCCGAATGGCTCGATTATGATGCCTATTATTCAAACGTGTGTTCACAAGCCACCGGTGAAATTTTCTTGTTTGTATTGACATCGAGTGGGCATTTCGCCATTTTCGATCTCTATTTTGAGGGGGACTTGTGCATTTTAGCACTGCCTCTTGTCGTATCAAATATAACTCTAAGTGTTACGTTATCCTGCACGCTGGTACTTTTGTACAGATGTATCGTATTAAGAAACAACTAAACTTGGCAAGACATCTGGAAAGGTACCAACACATTATGTCCACATGTACCATGAACCGTAGATTCCCTGCCGATCGACTGAATCAAGCGGGAAACACTGGCTTTTTTAGGTTAATCCCTCGATTACAAACTTAACAGAACCATACTCACTGTCTTGGTTCATTTCTATAAGGAACAGATAATGTGAGGTTTGCGTGTCTGCTTATACTAGTCTGGACGAATGGCGGTTACATGTGCACTCCCATTGAGATATCATAAGGCAGTTTAAAATGGATATCCCACATGGAGCCGACCAGTCCTTATTAATGCAAAACCCCAGCCAGGTAACAAGAAGCAACGTATTTCACGATGACGCGGCAGGGAATCGAACCACTGTCATGTCCACTAGACCAAGGGGGTGGTAGGATGGGCTGACAACTAAACTGAAACCTCGTACGTTCGGACCCAGTAGTTCGGTAACACCGCAATCTGGATTACTGTTTGGCATGCTATATGTATAAACCTATATGAGTGAGTGAGTGAGTTCGTTTAAAGCCGCTTTTAACAGTATTCCAGTTATATCACGGCGTGTCAGCTTAAAGTGAGAGGAAAGCTCGAAGTGATGCAGGTCTCAGACGTTTATCTCTTCGGTGAAACCCAGGAGCACGTGTATGGTGCTGACAAACCTTAATACATAATCGGGGCGAACCGGGATTCGAACCCACTATCATAGGTTACTGGCGTGCCTAAGGGACGCAACTCTGCCCAGCGAATCGCGACGCCTCAGACGACGGGGCCACCCGTGCCCCCTAACCTTATATGAACGTACTACATTCCCACCTGTAAAGATCCGGGTTGAATCGGACCTCGTAAGAGAGTGGGCTGGTCAGTCTCGGTGACTTGGTTGATGCATATCATTGTATCCCAATTGCGTAGATCGATGCTCATGATGTCAATCACTGGATTGTCTGGTCCAGACTTCATTATTTTACAGACCGCCGTCATATAGCTGAAATATTGCTGAGTGCGGCGTTAAACAAACGACACCAAAACTACGTACCCATGACTCGTTAATCAGGTCATTTGGGATTCCGGACGGTTTAACAGTAACGTTGCACACAATGTATATCTCTAGGCGTATCCTCCTTCAGATAAATGGAATATTGCTGAGTGCGTCGTCACAGAAAAGTATAGGTGTACGCTGTATGAGCGTAAGTTAAGCTGCAGCTGGCTGGATATATCCAGATATTGATCCAATATGCTTATAACTCATGTACAGCTGGTCCTCGTTGAAACAAATTTCTCATGAATGATTTACAAAACATGTGAACAAACATATGTTTTATTAACCTAACACAGACGAACATGTACATAAAATAGTGTCTGCAATTTTTTTACATTGTGTTATTCTTTACAGTTACCACTGTCCATGGCCCCGTTTCGTAAAGCAATCATACGCTCGTCACTCCTGCGCATTAACACAGACGTACGCCAGTGGTAGAGTCGATATTGCTTTGTGGAGCGGGGCCTTGTACAGTTGGGAGGTGTGCAGCTGGGAAAGCACGGTGATCACAAAACTCATTGAGAACACATTGGTATAACGTCACAGTGGATACAGTATCGTAATGATGGACACATTCAAGCTTGGGACCAAACATTTCATGTCTTCGGGATGATTTAATAATAATATTTTACTTCTCTTCTGCTTAACTAATATAATGTAAGAAACATCAGCATGAATACCGCGGTTTGGAGCAGTTGGTGTCCCGCGTGCAACGGAAGTGATGTGTGGATCGAGCTCCACGAGTATTCGTCACGTCGACTCGACACATGCGCTGGCAACTCAAGGGCAAACTCTCCACCCCTGCTGTTGTTTTCGCCTGCACGCTTTATGCAGAAGCGCAGGTTTATTTGCTGTGATTTTTCTCAAGTTTGTTTAGCAGTTGGTGGCAGGATGAAAGAGTCTCGGTATATTATGGCTGTAAACATAAAGCATCTTTCGTGTTCAGAAAACTGTTAAACGCATTCTGTTTTTGTTTATCCCAGACGATAACTGTAGTTCACTTTTATATATCATGATCCTCATATCAATCTTCATGTTTACAGGTTTAAGGTTGATATCACTTTTTAATAGGTTTTTCTTCTGAATCTAGATTCATTTCCGGAACAAGTCAAACGGAAAATGCATATTGGATGTTTAACTACAAGAAGAAACAACATGCGTGTTCAACGTGGATATGTTTGACTGTAATGACTGTAGTAAGGTTGAAAAGATCATCATAACAGATAAAATTGCAACTAACTTCGGAGTGAATATCAACAAAACCAATTTGGAGATACTAATACTGAAGGGTAAAAGTTTGAAAAAATACACTAGCCCTGTCTACAGCGAAACCTTGTTAAACGAACTCAAATACGATTTATTGTTAAAGATGATATCATTTTATGTTCCCGGCATAATCATTATCGGCATTTTGGTCTTACATTGGATAATTCTTAACTGCAACTACGGATTATTCGACATTTATTTGATGTTCCCCAGAACAAGGTAATAACAAAGTTTCACTGTATATTATCACTGTATATATCAAGAGGTATGATGATAGAGAAAACTATGAATAGACGTATTGTTTGTCATGGCTCTAATGGGGCGGTCGGGTAGCCTAGTGGTTAAAGCGTTCGCTCCTTACGCCGAAGACCCGGGTTCGATTCCCGACCTGGGTACAATGTGTGAAGCCCATTTCTGGTGTCCCCCGCCGTGATATTGCTGGAATATTGCTAAAAGCGGCGTAAAGCCATACTCACTCACTCATGGCTCTAATGGCATAGGTGACGTAAATGATCATGAAACTACAAGTAACTGGTTGTTCTAGCCAGTTCATATAAGGTGCCTCAACTAAATGCTGAATATCCTCTATTCTCTCTGAATCTCATTTGCTCAATCCTGAGTCATGAATACAACTTAACTCAAATCTCAAAAGCATTTGTCGGAATTGCACTCTACAGAGGCAGACTTTTGATCAAAAAGGTCATATGTAGGTCATAAAAGGGGGCGATTTGCAGTTCAAATACTGATAAAATAAAAACAAAAATATATAATACATTAAGGACTTTTATTTACCGTACACCACTTTTTATGAAATGTTGAATCTGCGTACGAAATAATATTCTACTTTCGTCTCGGGTACCAGACTGTTGAATCCCAAATACCCTCTAAACCACGAAACCCGTATACCAAAAATGGAGTTGGCAGTCTCACCTATGCGTGTTATATCGTTGGCAGTAAGTACAAATGTATAGTTTGGTTTCGGCTATATCATAATTATAATTGTAATGATATATCTGCAAAGCGCCAAGAGAATATTTGAAAGTACCAACTGATAAATGAGATTCTTAGACAGTATATGAATATATGCTTGTGCTAAAAAAAGAGTGCAGTTTACACCTAAGACACTGCTGTGTACATTGTAGAGGAAGTTTCAACGTTAGGTTTGTGACTCGTTCTGTGCAGGAACATATATACATTGCCATTTTCATACGGTAAACAAAATACCTCCACTAAGATCTTGGAATTTCACGTGACGAAACAACACATGCCACTGCTGATCTAATTGGTAATATAAACTGAAACGGAAAGGTTTGGTCAAACCTTGAATATTGACTCGTCACATTAGCACAATTGACCTGTCACGTGATCAATATTGACTTCATCGGCCAGAAGACAACCTGCGAGTGGCAATACACGGTCCGCCGGTCTTTCTAATTACGAACTGCTTAATGACAGAATCAGTATTAACACACTAAATGCGGCCTCGGTCCGGCCAGACCACCTTAAAGGTCGGATCCTCCGGTATTTGTTTCCGGATAATGACCTCGCCACAAGTAACTACTAGTATTTCCATAATGCATGTTTCCTTGAAAGGTCTATTTACAGCTTTACCAAACTAGACCTTATTTCTGTGTACATGAATGTTCAAGCAAGAAATGACTTTGTTGTATTAGTTTCTGTAAGAATACGTATAGCAACATGAAAACCACTGTTCCTTTAACTTGTAGCACATTCTCATAATAAACATGTAAACAAATTACAATAATAATAGGAACACATGGAATGAGGCTCAAGGCACGTGCTGTCAACATTAATATCAATACGGGTGATACACTCATATAAACACAATCCTGAACAACGGCATAGGGGTTCATATGACTTCTCTTGAAAATCTTATTATTATTCAATTCTGATATAAGTTTTCTCATTATTACCAGAAGAAAATATAACTTTTACAAAATGTACAGCATTGTAAATTGAGACAAAACATTACGTATATGTTTGTAAATATGGACAAATATCTTCGTAAATTAATGTTTGTTTAGACATATATTTTAGTTATTGTATGTTTAGGTTTGTAAATGTCATATTATGATAACTGTTTAACCTTTTTCGTGATTTACAAACACTTGCAGACCAGTAAAGGTTCACATTTCTTCATGTGTATCTACAGTGACACCCCCTTCATCCAGATGACTCCGTCTTCGTAAAACAGAGTTACGACAAAGACCCTTTTTGACCAACCAACCAACAATTACTGGCATGAAAATAGCTTACATGTTCGAGGGTAAACCTAATTATAAGCCAATTAAGAGACTTGCCCATGTTCAAATATGTAAAAAATAGCTTTCTGAAAACCTCTATTTGACTCTGTAGTGTTACCTATACATAAGATACGTTGCAATGAATAAAATCTAATTGTCATTCAAATGAACTCATTTCTGATTTCTGAATTCGTTAGAAAAAAAGTATGTACATATTTTGGTCCCAAAAGGGCACGTAGCATATGATGTCCTTTCTGGATTATCGGCTTGTGGGTACCAAGCAATGTCTTTCTGAATACGTAGATGTATATTGACGTTTCGGACTAAATGAGTGTCACTGTATATAAGTGTAATTCATCTTTATCTTTATAATATGTATAGGATATATTACAATACCTTACAATAACCTTTTTGACAACACATGCGTTCACAACACTTCAAAAACATAAAATAAATCACTAAATAATCAAATTCATTATTCGTTTCTGTAACGAATTGTAGTTAAAAACAGAGTCACTATCATATCTTGCAACGAAAGATACCTAAAGTTTATCTATACCTGCATACTCCGATATGGTACCTAAAGATCTGAGGACACCTTCATTGTACACACTTTTGGTTGTAGATGGCATGGCGCTCAGAAACGACTAACATATCTACAACAATACTACAACGCGGATTTATGTTTTTGCATTGGGAATTCCCCGAGTATATCCGGTTTCGAGATACAGAAATGAGATATGTTTGTCTGAATGCTGACGCGAACTTCCATGGAGGTGCTCTCAGGTTTTCGCTCAGAGAGGCATTGTTTCGGAGTAGAATAACTCATTTTAATGAGATTGTTTATTCCGGTTACCTGTAACTATAACGGGCAAATCAAGGGCTAAAGTACCTCGCGGAAATATGATCTATTTGGTAATTCGTTTTTTAAAGAACAAAGGGATAACTATCTTGGTGGAATCCAGGTGCCTTAAAAAATAGGTTTAATCAAGTAGAATGTGTCGCATTTGCCTGACAGTATGTTAAATGAAAGTAAAATATCCGGTTATTTGTTTTTCTTCATAATAACAGTTTGAACATTCGACTGGGTGATGTTCTGCATAACTCCCAAACCCCATGAAGCTACTGTGGACTAGTCTGACGAGTTGCTTGTTGTGTGTACGGGACGAAGGCAGATGACCCACGTTACTTTTACCTTATGCATACATCATTATTCCATTTTTGTACACATCATCCATAGCATATTCGGTTCATATAAGACATGCTCTATCTTCTGTCACCGGTTGCTTGTTAGGTAAAAATAATTTCATTAAAAACTATACCTTTTGAAACATTTCGTATACAACCTGAATAATTCTGCATAATTATAAATATTAAGCGTCAAAGGTCTCCAATGGCCTTCATATATATCTAACATATGAACCAGCGAATGCATGTTCTTCCAGTTGCTACTGAATCCTTCAAAAGCTCTTTTCAGATATATCATCCGATTCGTGTATCTTGTCATACGTTCCCATGTTCGTTGCCCCTGTTCTAGTGGTGGCAGTATTTCCGGAGAAGGACAACTCATTCTGCCTAGCGTAGACGTAACGTCTCCGCAAACACCGGAACGCTGACAGAAACCCTTGTCGGAAGTTCTTGTTTAGGAAACAGTATGTGATTGGGTTTGAACACGCCGACACATATGACACTAAATGAATTAAAGATTTCGTCAGGGGGGAGATGTGCGCCCGCGCACTGTCTTTATCGAACACAATCCACGTTGCCACGACATAAGTAGGCGTCCAAAACAGGAAGAATTCCAGCACAACTGCAAACAACATTTTAATAACTCTTTTCTTGGCGGCGCGACTTTTCTCACTATTTGACTGCCTCATTGCACGGTTAAATTCAAACTTTCTGAAGGTTCTCTTGGTGTTGCTGGCTGACGTTGCTGTTGTGTAGTCAGGATCCAGGTAACCAGCTCCGTTTCCCCTTGAGTGGTCGCTGTTCGAAAGGCAACCGTTTTTGTCCTTCTTATCTGTAATAAAGTAAACAAATAAAAACACATGAAGTTGGTTTTTATGTTTAACCCGTTGTTATCGTCGTTCCCTTTATAACAAGTTAGTAGCATACCCCAGTGTCACAGATTTCTGATATTATTCTGCTGCTTGTGATGATGGTTTTTAGTGAGGTAGCGAGTCGGATTCAACATGTCAACCCCAGTGGATATTCAGTCTCGAATAACTGCCGCAACAGATTCACAGGGCGCAACAGGTAAAATAGTGAAAATAATATGAATTGTTAACTGGAATTCAGGGAAGGCACCAGCTGTTTGCGAAAATGGTAAGCATGTCCTGCTCTACCGATAGAAACCGCCCCTCACACATTTTACGTTATCATAAAAAAGGACAGGTGTCAAACAACAACTTCGAAAAATATCACAGAACCCATATGCACTGATACTGACAATCTACGAGTCACAATTGTGAGATTCGAATTCAGGGTATAGAGTCAGCGGATCCCGGAAACTAATGGACGCAACTCTAATGAAAGATGTGGTAATCGGTGACGTTTTGCGCCGAAGTAATTTGCACCTGTTTGTTCAAAATACTATTTGTGTTACTGTCATGTTGACGCTGTTAGTTTCCTTGTATGGTTTTCGAATGGAAAACATACTATCCTTACAACAGCTGATCCAGATGTGTTAATATTCATGAGAATAGTTTTCTGATTCTACGACAGAAAACAATACGCCCCACACCCTTGAAGTAGGATATATTTTTATCTCGCATCAGCCTGAGTTTCTATGGAACCAAACCTGCTTTGAGCACCTGTTGCCCATGTGTATACTTCGTAGGGGAACATAGGTGGCAAAAACCTCAAGATCGCAGAGTTGCGTACCTTAGTCGTACCAGAATCCGATGACCATGTTTCATATTTACACTTCGCCCGATTATGATATTTGCCTTGTCAACACAATCCGTACTCGTAGGTTTAAAAATATGGCTCAATTGCATTGGGTTATAAACTCAAAATAGCGGGGGAAATCCTATGAGTAGATCATTAAGAATCAGTGATGACACCAGGTGTTCGCGATAAGGGTACACACGACCTGCCCTACCGGTAGCACTACTGCACAGCAGTACTCCTGCCATGCGGCAACAATCCAGACAATCAAGTGATGGACCAGAAGATCCAGTGAAACGATATTGCATTTACTGATTTTGCTGAAACTAAAAAACGATATGTCAATTTTGAATTACGTCTGCCGTGTACAATTGCACAGATTCGGCTGCGTATCAGTGAAGTCAAACGTTTAACAAATATGTTCTTTTGGGAGTTTGTGGTTGGAGGAGGAGCAATTTTAATATCTCGAACGTTTCTTTTGTAGCTGACGCAACATAATTGATAAATGCTACTGAGCGTATGATGAATCTAGGGGACTTCAGTCCACCAGCAGAAACGTTCTGTTCAAGCAAATATAAAACGTCAACACAAGAGACTCCCTCGGGGATTTAATCCTACTTTAAGCCGACACGCTATGATAAAACTGAAATAAAGTTCAAAGAGGCGTTAAACCAAACTCACTCAATCACTCACTGCAAGTGAAAGCTACAAATTTTGTTTTCCATGGGTTCCTCTGCCACTGAGTGAAATATGAATTTCATATACACATCGGAACCAATCTTTTGCACTGTAAGTAAATATGTGCTCAGGAAAGAAGGACCACGGCAACGAATATCTATGGAATGGGATCTTCCACGTGAAAATGGTTGTTAGGACCATGTCGTATCTGTTGACCACTACAGGTCTAGACCTTGCGACCCGAGCCCTCTTTGCAACCGATTCATTGTCTCTGTATATAGTACAATGGTGAACTGCTGGAGTGATATACATGTGGAAAACGTGTTTTTTTACGACTAAGATTGAGCATAACACAACTACAATTTGATCTTACCCTTGTGCCGCTATACACTAAAATTAATAATTTTAGCAGTTAAGGTGAATAGAAAATGATTGCACATGCAGGTTACATTAAAACTAAAGGTCTTGAGGAAACGGGTAGACTAAATGTAACATGATCGCTGTCCTCCCCCACCCCCCACCCCTACTCCAAACCACCCCTACCCTCCAAGTCAAACCAGGAATCGCCTCTCGCAGGTACAAACACACCTTTCGCCTGGATCGCCAGTTTTTTCAGCACCAACGACCATCGGCATCTTATGCACTCTGTGGTATGACCGAAATATTAATCAAAGCGGTCAACTCACTAAACCTTTCTCAAATACAATGAATGTTTAATACTTACTTTTATTTCTATCCGATTGCTCTTCCATCTTAATCCCCAGCCACAGTGTATAGGAGATCATCCCGTAGGCAACACTCATGATGAAAATTGGGAGAATAAGAAGTATCAAATTGAGAATGATGGTGTACGCTTTTTCCAAGTTCACATCGCCCCATACCTCGTCACAGATGCTGACGTTGACTCTCGGATAGTGAATGATCTTCTGGAACACGGCTATTGGAATCATCATAACAAAGGAAAGCAGCCAGCACACCGCCAGTGCTTTATACGCGTGGGACAGGGTTTGCCAGGACCGTGAGTGCAGGGGTCTACAGATGGCGAAATAGCGCTCCATTGAAATAGCCACCAAGGTGAAACAACTCACTCCGACTGACACACCTGAAATGGAAAGAGAGAAGTGTCAACAGTATACAGATGTTGTATACAATAACATTTGCTTTCTGAAATGGCTCGATACGTGAACATGTCATATTGGTTTTGATCTAATGGCTCAGGGGGCGAATGCGAATGCGTAGCCAAGTGGTTAAAGCGTACGCTCGTCACGCCTAAGACCCAGGTTCGATGTCCCACGGGCACAATTTGTGAAGCCCATTTTCTGGTGTTCTTTGTCGTGATATTGCTTGAATATTGCTAAAAGCGACGTTAAACCTCACTCACTCACTCACTCACTCTAATGGCTCAGTGGTCCAAGGTATGATCGCGGCAAACCAGGATCCGCTGGTCATAGGAATGATTTTCAGATTCGCTCTGATATTATCCTTGGTTTATCGTATCCATGGGCAACAGGGGCGGCCTGTCGTCTAAGGCGCCACAGTTTACTGTGAAGTGATGCGACCCTTAGACGAGTCAGAAACCATGGATAATCTGTTCGATCACAGATTCGCCCTGATTATGATCTTTGGTTGTCATAACCTAGGCCACGATTGTGGATTCATCTACAGTTGGATTCACTTTGGATTTGCCCCGCATTGAGATCACACCTCGTGATATAACAAACATTATTCAAACACAATTAACCTGGTCACGTATACCTGTAGGTAAATACCTTTGTCCAATACATTATGTTATCAAACAGCGAATCATATACAGTACCCCACACTTGATTTCAATAATTACAAACCAAATTTCATTGACATGAATAATAGTATTATGCTACGCCTGATGACGTTGCACTGGATTCTTATCACGTTGTCTTATAGGTACATTTGTCAACAGTGGTCCAACAATAACATTATCTTTGCAGTAAGAATGTGAACTTTACATATCCGATACGATGGATACGATTGTTTAATAATATAAACAGTCACGAAAAAATAAAATGCACCAATGTTTCATGATTGCTAAAAATGAAAGAAACAAGAAATGGTCATTCGATGATTTGATACGTGTGTCATAGTTGTGTTATAAACCTTAGGTTTACAGTGTTTCGGTAACCGTTTTCATTGTACCGATTTGACAACGTTTTTAAAATCCTATCCTTTTGCCCTGCAGTTCAAACCTGATACTCATGAATATGCCAATCTACGCGACTGGTTCTACATGAAATCGTGTTAGGAAGAGGTTAAGTATTCAGTGCTATAGACGATTCTTCATGTCAGTTTGCATTACCTTTTTACTAAAATTAAGATGAAAGACAATGTGAAAATCGGAACTCTTTTTAGAGTATGGCATGCACATTATTTTACATGTAGGTTTGACATTATGAGATGGTTGCACACACAAGGATGTGGAACAGTTCAAATTACACGCAAGACGAACCAGTAACAAGAACATAACAAAAGAGGTAATAACTGTATATTTATCTATAGCAATAATTGATGTCAGATAGCAAGAAGGGTAATCACAAGGCGAAATGCTATATGCAATAACATCTTTTAAGTGACACACGTCAAAATGAGAACATGTATATTGAAACCAGTACTTGTAAATGCCTGAGACAGATATTGGTGTGCGTTTACACTGTATTAGAGTCAGGTTAGAGTCATTTTGCCGTGGACCTGATGTGAAGTGAATGGGGTTTATGGTAGCGTTCAAGATTATTTCACAAATATAGTGACGTACATGCACGTGCACGCGTGTGTGGCTGTTTGAACATGTCCGGGTTTATACCCGTTTTATAGTACTAGTACACAGAGATGTCATGCCCCAGATTAACACTAATACACCTCTCAGATATACTATACTCATAGTCCTTGTTTATGCCCTTAATACCATTGCCGCGCAAGGTAGCAAGTACCATTATGAACGTCTTTAGCTGTGATGCGGCGAGGGGATCTCCGTGTAGACGCATATCCGCCAGAACACGGAGACAGTTCCGCGAACTTGGGGATATATGTGTACATAGATTTATAAGCCAGTACCCATTTATCAAAAGCAGAGCGATGAAATCATTTCGTGAATGTATCACGTATTTAGCTCAAAACGTGGTTGTCCACTATCAATCTATTTATTTGTACTTGAGGCCTCAGGCCCATATACAAAGTATACAAAGTATACAAAAATACAAATTTTCCATCAAGGTGATAGCGGTTCATCATACTTATATATTCAATGATAACATAGTGTACAGTAATTAAGGATAACATGCTCTCCTCATAAGTGAAGCTTTACAGAATTTTAGCAAGTTTTCTACTATAGCTGGATCATAATCATTCATTAAATTAACAAAACATTTGGATGTGCATTAACTTGAATATTTTTTTGGTACAAAAAGATGTCTCATATCATTAAAACATGGGCATTTTATTATTATGTGGAATTCATCCTCTAACTCATTCAATTACAATTCTGACAGATTCGTATACTTTTTTCAAAAAATTTCCATCTTCCAACATTTATGTTAATTTTTGCACCTCCAGTTCTTAAAAGAGCTAAGTACATGTATCTTCTATGCATTATATATGTTTTGCAATACACATATGGTTCAGCAGCATTTAATGAAAATTTGTATATACTGTAACTATCGAATCTTGTACTTTCTCTTAATTTTGCTTGCCACTCTTGAAAAGAAATATCTCTTAATCTAAGTTTAATCTTACTTATTAAATAATCAATATTACCAACAACTTGAGAGAACCAGACTTCTCCAAGACCTATCAAACATAAAGATTCTCTAACATTTGTTACCCAATTTCTCCTATCACATTCATCTAAGTGTTTAAACATATTATACGACTTTTTCATCTGACATCTGACATCTGACATCTGACATGTGTATTAATCTTAGCCAATATGTTATACATTGCACAAATGAATCAACATATAACGGATATCTCCCACATTCTCTCACAGCCATAGCATTTGGAGTTTGTGACGGTAAACCAAGAAATCTTTTACATGCATAATTCTGAATTTTTCTCAAGTGGATCAAATGTATTGGTGCCCAAAATATCTGCACCGTATAATAAAATAGGCTTAATCTTTACATCAAATATTTTAAAGAATATGTCATAAGACAAGCACCCAAGTTCATTTAATGATCTTAAAATTTCATAAAGTGCTAATTTACCTTTTTGTCATGTGTATTTCACTGTTTTTATCATATTCATATTTGAGTAAAACATAACACCCAAATATTTATAGTGTTTTACTATTTCGACATTTTGGAAGTCCATCGTTCGTGTCTTTTTTATATAAACTATAACTATAAAGGTTATACGCCATGGTGTTCGTTGGTATCACCCCTGCCGATTTGTTACACTTTCTTCATATAGACTATAGCTTAAGTAATTATCGATTTCTTTTTACCAAAATTAATTGACGGATGTACCATATGACAGACGTTCAATAATTTGACACATCGGACAATATCAATCAAGTCAAAGGTGGCAAGATCAGACCAAAGTCAGTGTAAGATTGCTTTGCGAATGAGGTCGTGGACAAATCGTGTTGTATCTAAAACCACAGCATACTTAATCACGGGGTGAGCTCGGTCAATATCAACCAGGTCAAATACAAACTTGAGTTTGGCCAATACTAACTTCCGACTGCTTTCCGCATGGTAACAGGATTTCACACAGAATCTGCTCCGGTACATCGACACGTCTTAATGTAGGTTAAATCAGATCAACAGTAAAACCGATCGAAATGTCCTTCTATGAATATAACGTACCTCAATTTTTTAAACAGATATTAATAGATTACAATAGGAGATAATAAATAATGAATGAGGTCAAAGATTAAAGGTCACATGATTGAGTGAGTGAGTTGGGTTTAACGCCGCTTTTAACAATTTTCCAGTTATATCACGGCGTGTCAGCTTAATGTGGGAGGAAAGCCCGAAGTGATGCAGGTCTCAGACGTTTACCACTTCGGTGAAACTCACGAGCACGGGTATGATGCTGACAAACCTAGACACATAATCGGGGCGAACCGCGATTTGAACCCACAATCATAGGTTTCTGGCGTGCCCAAGGGACGCAACTCTGCACAGCGAATCGCGGTGCCTTAGACGAGTGGGCCACCCGTGCTTCCTCACATGAAATGACGTCAGTGTGCTTGATAGTGGTTAGTGGTTAAGCCTGTCTTCTGAACTTAGACAATGGGTGGTAAAACGTCGTCCACTGTTAAAAACTACAGAATTGTTCAAGACGGAGTTGATTTCCCTCCCTCACTCACTCGATGAAGACGGTGTTTCTACAATAGCATTTCGTGTATACAACCGAACCCAAGACACCGACATCGCCAGAAACATCCTCAGGTGGATCTCATCAGTAAAATGTGCAGAGGATAATCTCATTAACTGTTCATTCCCTCCCCACGCTAGACACCATAAGCTTCTGAAAGCACACACACACAACAAATCCCATTACTTTGGATTCTGGTAGTTTCCGGAAAGGATTTCTTGTTCCGGCTTTGACTTAATTACATCGACCATAACCGACACTTGTTTGTAGGACATGGGCATGTCACATGACAGCAGTATTGTTCGCATCAGACACAATGTTTGTTGTACATGAAACAACACGACAAAACCGGTTCCAAAGAAATATCTGCACGTTTCCGACTACATCATGAGCATGATGATAGCTCGTGTGCGCCCGTCACAAGCACATGCAAAGGAAAGTCATGTTCATCTAAACAACAAGGAAAATTGGTAAAAGTTGAAATACTGAATGGCATTGGGCATTACTTTCTCACTGACAAGGCAATTTGCAAATGTCCTCAAAATGTCTACTATAAAACTGTGGGAAAGCTTGAATGTTTTAACCTTAATCAAAGGAACATCCGATTGGTTGGTTGGTTTGTTGTTTAACGCCGCACTCAGCAATATTCCAGCTATATGACGGCGGTCTGTAAAAAATCGAGTCTGGAACTGACAATCCAGTGATTAATATCATGAGCATCAATCCACGCAATTGGGATTGATGACATGCATC